GCTGAGGCGGAAGGATCGCCGGAGCCCAGCAGGTCGAAGCTGCAGTGGCCAGGAGCAGCCACTGCACTCCAGTCTGGGTGACAGAGTGAGACTCCAACTCAAAAAAAAAAGTGGCAAGGTACTTTGTCTTCCTTAGGAAAACAAAGGAAAATTAAGTTGTTTTGCATCTCATCTAATGTGTTTACTTTTCTTCGGATCCTTTATTAGGGAACCCTCACCCTACACATTCTAAAATCAGTTATGCTTAATCTGGTGACAATAGAATAAAAGGTCCCATGGGGCCAAGCTCTGTGGCTCAGCCTGTGATCCCAGCACTTTGGGAGACCGAGGCGAGTGGACTGCCTGAACCTGCGGGTTTGAGATCAGCCCGCGCAAATTGGCAAGACCTCGTCTCTACAATAAATCAAAAATTAGCTGGGCATTGTAGCGCACACCTGTGGTTCCAGCTACTTGGAAGGCTGAAGCAGAAGGATTGTCGGGGCCCAAAGGTCGATGCTGTCGTGGCCGTGAGTAAGCCACTGTACTCTAGCCTGGGTGACGGAGTGAGTATCCAACTCAAAAAAAGAAAAATAAGGTCCCATGGGTAAACCCAGACAGTTCACATTATTTTGTCTTGTAAGACTTTTCCTGGTGGAGAGTTCACCATGTTCATCATATTTTTTTTTTAATCTAGGAAGCAAAAAATGTTAAGAACTACTGAACTAAAGAAAACTCTATACAGAGGCATATACTATGGGGAATGAAATTCAAAATAAGTCCTTTAATGATTCACATTTTTGCAGCATCCCAGGTATGTTAAGAATTCTGTTTATTTGTTCAAAATGCATACTCATGTTATAAAGAATGTCCCAAATGATGAGATGCAAGAAGGATCTTCTTTAGCTATTTAAAAATGCTAAATAACCCAATCCTATGCTTCCTGGTTTAAGTGTATGTCACTGTAAATTACAAATGGCTTATAAAATCTCTTCAAAGTCTTTGAAGGAAACTTTTTCCTAATTCAATAAAGAATTACTCACATATTCACTTACTCTCTCAACAAGTATTTATTGACTCCAGTAGGTGCCAGGCACTGCATTTGACACCATCAACTACTATGTTTAATTCTTGGTTTTCGCCGGGCTCAGTGGCTCAGCCTGTAATCCCAGCGCCTTGGGAGTCCGAGGTGAGTGGATTGCCTGAGCCCACGGGTTCAAGACCCACCTAGGCAACTTGGTGAGACCTCATCTCTACAATAAATCAAAATATAGCCGGGCATGGTAGCGCGGGCCTGTAGTTCCAGCTACTTGGAAAGCTGAGGCGGAAGGATCGCCGGAACCCAGCAGGTCGAGGCTGAGGTGGCCGGAAGTGGCCACTGCACTCCAGTCTGGGTGACTGAGTGAGACTCCAACTTAAAAAAAAAAAAGTTCTTGGTTCTCCTCGAAATTGTTGCCTCAGTCTACAAATAAAGGTTAGAACATATCGTTATATTTCTATGCCCAGCAACTAATATAATGCCTAGATTTTTGTGGAACCTTAATGACTGCTAAACTATGTTATGGCAAAACACTCAGAAGACAGGCTGAATACAAAAGCATTAGTTTCACATTAAGAAAAACCTTCCTGGCCAAGTTTCTTAGTCAACCAGGCTACTACAGTCAGAAATGAGATTAAAATCTGTGCTCAAAACCAAAATACGAAACAAAACAATAAAACGTCTAAACATATATGCTTCTGATAACGTTTTTCTTGAACACATAAAGACAAGCAATCTCTTATGCTACCAAAAGGACCCTAAACAAAGTCAAAAATGGATAAGATTCGAAGGTCTTCAGTGTCATAAAGATGGAAAAGTTGACACATCGACAAGCAATCTGTTTTGACATTAGCTTTCAGGCCAACTGTTCCAGAAGCAACACCAAGAAATAACAGAAATAAGGAACAAAAGAAGAAAATGCACGCTGAGATAAGCATTTTGGCTTACTGCAAATAACAAAACAATTTAGAGCCCAAAAAGTTGGTTGTGCAAGTCTGATTCACCATATGCTAACATGGCATTGTTCTCTTCCTGAAAAAGCCCCAAACAAACATCCTGCCTGCAACCTTCTCCGGGTGCTGCTAACCATTTTAGTCATTCTTGTGACTCTGGGTTGAGAAAATAAAGACGGACATCAACAAGTATTTAGGAGGGGCCTAGAAGAACTTTTTACCCCTAGCCACAGCCCAAGATCCTCCCACGGGAACTGCCGATGGACCGCAGCCGGCCGGCAGGCGGAGGGGAGGCTGGCCACGCCCAGATGCGCGGCGGTCAGGGTCCAGGCCTGCCGGCCTGCAGGCCACTGGCTGTGCTGGAGCCGCCCCAGCGCAGGGGCGGGGCGCGGAGACGGGGGGCAGCCGGGCCTCACCTCCACGGCCTGGCCCAGCTCCAGGTCGAAGCCCACCACACACACGCAGTGCAGCCAGGCCGAGAAGCCGTCCCAGCGCAGCAGGCCCCGGCCGCGGCCATCGTCCTCTTCATCGTCCTCCAGCACGGCTCCCGCCGCCGCAGGGGCCGTCGCCTCGCGCCCCTCGGCAGCCGTCACCGCCTCGTTCAACGGCCTTCGGGAGCCGGGGCCCAAGCCCGCCGGGCCCCACAGAGCCATCCGCCGCCCCCTTAGCGTTCGCGCCGCCTCCACCGCGAACCGCGCCGCAGAGCGCGCCCGGCTCTGCGCAGGCGCAGCCGCCGCTGCCGCAACCGCTGGGGACCAGCTCCGTGCGGGCGGGGCCGCGGGCCACGTGACCCTGGGAGCCCGGCTGAGCGCTGGGCTCCCGGGCCAGGACGCGGACGTGGGTACGTCACGCTGCCGCTTGTCTCGGATTGTGAAGCCAGCTGTGGCCTTCTTGTCTTAAACCTGTTCTGGACGGAAACGGTTGTTTAGGAATCCTTGTCACCCTCGTTCTCTGTCAACGACAAGGGAATAAATCGTTCTTGGAATGACACCGTTCATAATTATTATTAAAGCATAGTGGTAACAGTGGTTAACATTTATTGAACATTTACTCTGTGCCAGTTAATGGGTCAAGCAAGTATAAGTACAGATATTTACAAATATTAACTTACTGACTTCCTCACATCGCAAGTACGTGGACATTATTTATTTCTTTTTACAGGTAAGAAAATTGAGGTTCTGACAGGTTACATGACTAGCCCAACAAGAATGACAACGCCGATGCCAGGGTACAGGTCACTCATGCAGTGTGCTGATTCAGAGATCTGTGCTTTGACCGAGCTGTTCCCTCTCCACCAAGGCTCCTCCCACCTTTCTTGGCCTGGCTGTCTGTGACTCACTCAACACTCACACATCTCCAGACCTTTCCAGAACCCTCGGTTGGGCAGGTTGGCCTCCACAGCAACCTGTGGATCACGTTCTCTGAGCACTGGCAAAGGCCTCATTTCAGACTCCTTTGTATTCTCAGAGATCAGAACTGGGCTAAGCACCCAGTAGGTACTTGTTCTGTTGAACTGTGATGATTATCGTCCAGCATGAAACTACTGACTAGGGTTTATTCAACACCTACTATGCTGAGTATAAATAGCATAGCAAAAGTAAATAGGAAACACACAATAATGTCCCAGTAGAAAAATGGATAAGCCAGTGAGGTGGCATCTCTGTAGACCTAGCTACTTGAGAGACTGAGGCCCACTGAGGTAAGGGAGGATTGCTGGAACCCTGGAGCTTGAGGCTGCAATGTCCTTCGATCATGACTGTGACTAGCCTCTGCACTTCAGCCTGGACAACATAGGGAGTCCTCCATTTCTAAAACAAAATAAAAAACAGTCCAGTGTTTATGCTTTTACATTCATCATATCTAATTCCCAACAGCCCCAAAGGACAAGTCCTATCTTTGACCTGCTGGGCTCAGACAATCCTTCACATCAGCCTTTCAAGTAGTTGGAACTACAGGCACACACCACCACCCTCAGCTAACTATTTGATTTATTGTAGCGACGAGGTCTCACCAAGTTGCCCAGGCTGGTCTTGAACCCATCCTCTTGCCTCCACCTCCCAAAGTGCTGGTATTATAGGCATGAGTCACTACACCTGGCCAAGTCCTATTATTATTCCCAATTTATAGATAAGGAAACTGAGGCCCCATGAGATGAGGGTATCACAGATAGTAGGTGATAGAACAGAGATTTAAACCCAGGTCTTTCTGACTCAGCCTGAGCATGTAATCATTTTGCTGCACTGCTCAGTCAAATCCATCCCATTTGACAAACACTGCCCTCACACATTATTAGAATTTGTGTTTGGAGTAAGTGTTAGCCCCCTATTTTCAAGGAGGTGGTCAAGTATATTCAGACATCAACAGTGATGTTTGCTAAAGGCTATCTTTAGAATAAAAGGTGAACTTAGGGTCAGAGATTAAGTAACAGGCCAAAGCAATCTGCTCAGAGAACCACTGTAGTAAAGAAAGAAAATCTGGCCAGGCACAGTGGCTCACGCCTATAATCCCAGCATTTTGGGAGGCCAAGGTGAGACGATTGCCTGAGCACACGGGTTTGAGACCAGCCTGGGCAACTTGACCTAACCTCATCTCTACAATAAATTTTTTAAAAAATTAGCTGGGCATGGTGGCGGGTGCCTGTAGTCCCAGCTACTTGGAAGACTGAGGCAGAAGGATCACCTGAGTCCAGTAGGTTGAGGCTACAGTGGCCGTGAGCATCCTACTGCACTCTAGCCTGGGCGACAGAGTGAGGCTCCAACTCGAACGAAAGAAAGAGAGAGAGAGAGGGAGGGAGGGAGGGAGAGAGAGAGAGAAAGAGAGAAAGAAAGAAAGGAAGGAAGGAAGGAAGGAAGGAAAGAAAGAAAGAAAGAAAGAAAGAAAGAAAGAAAGAAAGAAAGAAAGAAAGAAAGAAAGAAAGAAAGAAAGACTTGCCAGGCATGGCAGCTCATGCTTGTAATCTCAGCACTTTGGGGAATGGAGGCGAGAAAATTGCCTAAGCCCAGGAATTCAAGATCAGCCTGAGCAACATGGTGAGACCTCGTCTCTACAATTAAAAAAAAATTAGCCGATCATGATGGTACATGCCTGTTGTTACAGTTTCTTGGAAGGCTGAGGTGGAAGGATAACCTGAACCCAGCAGGTCGAGGCTGCAGTAGCCATGAGCGTGCCAATGTACTCCCACCTGGGAGACAGAGTGAGACTCCGACTCAAAAAAAAAAGAGAGAGAGAGAGAGGAAGCCCATATTCTGCATTCAAGTAAGTCTCTAAACCCATTATTAGGAAAGAGCAGTAACCTTTTGTGTTAGAAAAAACACTAGACTGGAAGTCAAAAGGTCTGGATTCTGTCAACCATCATCATGGTAGGCAAACTGCTCCAAGACCCAGTTTCTGCATTGGTAAATGGGAATGATCATTACTAAATCACCTCACTGACAGTCGGGAAGAGCCAAGCTATCCTGATGCAGATGTATTCTAATGTACACATTTTACCAGATGCTACTTCATTATTAATAACCAATGAGCTCTAAACACCATTTGTTCCACAGGGCTGGTTCTTTGTCATTTAAATACAAGCTGCAATTTCTGAAATGCTGCTTTATAATATTGAGTTAAGGGTAATTCTGTCAAAGTACAATAACCTGAAAACAACATATTAAGAAGGCTAGAAGTTTCATGAGGAAGAAATAGACAATGTCTAAAGTAAAAAAAAAAGTATTCATTCAATCTGTTCTAGAAAAAAAGCACACTACTACGAAAACATTTATAAATATATACAATAACCATGAGGGAAAACAAAGACGCTGTGACTTTTTCCCCCCTCTATCATAACTGATATTTTGCCTTCGAGTCTATTTTAACACAGTTTTTGTGGCTAATACTTGTATGGGAGCTGACAGCTTCTTCTTTCTTAAGGTTCATCATCAGAACCCTTGAATCTGGTTGGATCAGATCATCTCTCCAAACTTCCCACCCTGTTCAAGAATCTTCTGATGTTCAGTTAGCCGCTCTCTTTTCTAACACCCTCTATTAGGGTTAAATCACTACCTTCCAGAGATTCTATGTTCTGGGTACTTATAAGGACTAGAAAATTCTTCCTCTTATGGAGCCAAGATCAGCCACTTTGTAATATACACCCACTAGTCTAAGTTGTACTTGCTGAGTTTACATAGAAGAATCCAACTCTTCTACATAATAGCCCTGTGACTGTTTGAAAATAGTTATCCCACACCTCCATGTCTTCTAGTTTTCAGGGCAAACTATCTCAGATCCTCCAACTATTCTTCAAAGGATGTCGTTTCTGGGTCATTCGTCATCCTCCTGCCCAACTTGGGTATACTCCAACTTGACAATATCACTCTTAAAATGCAGGAGGAAACACCATCCCCCAGGTGTGACCTGACCACTGCAGAGCATATTCTGGGACTATTACTTTCCTTGTCCCAGCCAGAAGCCTTCTTTTAATGCCAGTTCAGATCACATTTGCTGGTTTTGGCAGCCAAGTCACATCACAGGCTCAGGTTGCCTTTACTGTCTACTAAAGCCCTGGATCTTTTTTCATGTGAGGAGCACTTAAGTCAGGGTAGACTGCTTTAGCCAAGAGCATGACTGGATTCATGGCTCCACTGCTCTTCTAATATTACCAAGAACATTGAACACAGGATTAAAAACATTCCAAACTTCCCCTCTCATCCCTAACCAGCCTGGCATTTCAGCAATTTTCATAGTTAAAAAAAAAAAAAAAAATTGAACGGGCGTGGTGATTCAAGCCTATAATCCCAGCACTTTGGGGGGCCAAGGGGAGAGGATTGCCTGAGCCCACGGGTTTGAGACCAACCTGGGCAAAATGGTGAGACCTCATCTCTACAATAAATTAAAAAATAGTATGCACCTGTAGTTCAGGCTACTCGGAAGGCCAAGGCAGAAGGATAGCTGGCGCCCAGCAGGTCGAGGTTAGGGTGGCCGTGAGCATGCCACTGCACTCCAGCCTGGGCAACAGAGTGAGATGAATTTTTTAAAAAATCAAGAAAGAATAAAGCAAAGGGTGAGCACTGGTAATAGTGTGAACTGCAATGTCAGATCTCTGGGCTTAGTTTTACCAAAAGGATTTGCAGGGAGTCCAAATGTCCTAGGCATCCACCTACATGGGCAGCCCGGGGACTTCCCTCTTACACTTGCGTTGTGTTACCAGGGCTGCTGGGGCATAACTACACTTGTTGTGAAAAAAAAAATACGTAGAGAAATACACAGAGGCCCAAGTACCAATATGTTCTCAATAGAGAACTGAGTTTACTGCCACAGGTTTCTGAAAGACAAAATGTTCAGACGCAGATTTTTTTTCTCCCCTTGGGACAGGGTGTCACCATCACTCAGGCTGGAGTGCAGTGGTATGATCCATAGCTCACTGCAGCCTCTAACTCCTAGGTTCAAAAGATCCTCTCTCCTCACCCTCCTGAGCAACTAGAATCACAGGTGTGTGCCATCATGCCCAGCTATTTTTTTTTTTTGTAGAGATGGGATATTGCTATGTTACCAAGGCTGGTTTTGAACTCCTGGGCTCAAGCGATCCTCCTACCCCAGCCTCCCAAGGTGCTAGGATTATACCAGACCTGGAAGCCACCGTGCCTGACCTTAAATGCAGATTTGGAAGAGAAGATTCGGCCAAAGAAGACTACAAAATGCACTATTATATGTTCGTAAACAGTGTTAGTGAATGCTTTAAAAAGAATGGTGAAG